AATACTTGTAACAGGATAGACATTACAATAAATAAGATAGACAATAAAAATAACAAGATAGACAATACAAGTAACAAGATAGACTATATACGAGTAACAAGACAGACTATATACAAGTAACAGGATAAACAATACAAATAACAAGATAGACAATACATGTAACAGGATAGACTATATACAAGTAACAAGATATACTTTATACAAGTAACAGAATAGACAATACAAGTAACGAGATAGACAATACAAGTAACAAAATAGACTATAGAAGTAACAGGATGACAATACAAGTACCAGGATAGGCAATACAAGTAACATGATAGGCAATATAAGTAACAAGATAGGCAATACAAGTAACAGGATATACAATTCAAGTAATATGATAGACTGTATACAAATAACAGGAAACACAATGCAAGTAACAAGATAGGCTGTATACAAGTAACAAAATAGACAATACAAGTAACAGGATAGGTAATACAAGTCACAAGTTAGGCAATACAAGTAACAAGACAGACAATACAAGTAAAAGGATACACGATACAAGTAAAAAGATAGACAATACAAGTAACAGGATAGGCAATACAAGTAACAGGATAGGCAATACAAGTGACAGGATAGGCAAAACATGTAACAGTATAAGCAATACACGTAACAGGATAGGCAATACAAGTAACAGGATAGGCAATACAAGTAACAGGATAGGCAAAACATGTAACAGTATAAGCAATACAAGTAACAGGATAGGCAATACAAGTAACAGGATAGGCAATAAAAGTAATAGGATAGGCAATACAAGTAACAGGATAGGCAAAACATGTAACATTATAAGCAATACAAGTAACAGGATAGGCAATACAAGTAACAGGATCATGGATAGGTAATACAAGTAAAAGAATACAAAATACAAGTTACAAGATAGACTATAGAAGTAACAGGATGACAATACAAGTAACAGGATAGGTAATACAAGTGACAGGATAGGCAATACATGTAACAGTATAGGTAATACAAGTAACAGGATAGGCAATACAAGTAACAGGATAGGCAATACAAGTAACAGGATAGGCAAAACATGTAACAGTATAAGCAATACAAGTAACAGGATAGGCAATACAAGTAACAGGATAGGCAATACAAGTAATAGGATAGGCAATACAAGTAACAGGATAGGTAAAACATGTAACATTATAAGCAATACAAGTAACAGGATAGGCAATACAAGTAACAGGATAGGCAATACAAGTAACAGGATAGGCAATACAAGTAACAGGATAGGCAATACATGTGACAGGATACGCAATATATGTGACAGGATACGCAATACAAGCAACAGGATCATGGATAGGCAATACAAGCAACAGGATAGACTATACAAGTAACAGGATAGGAAATACAAGAAACAAGATAGGCAATATAGAAGTAACAGGACAGACAATACAAGTAACAGGATAGACTACATAAGTAAATGGATAGACTATATACAAGTAACAAGATAAGCAATACATGTAACAAGATAGACTATATACAAGTAACATGATAGGCAGTACAACTAACAAGATATACTTTATACAAGTAACAGGATAGACAATACAAGTAACAGCACAAATTAAAACTGTGAAATATAGTCTGTGACATAGCTCCGCACCAATTGGTAACAAATAAATTCCAATACAATTTTCTATCAATATAAGAATAAGGAGGTGTAGTACGATTACTCATGAGACAACTATCCAACACATATATTTTAAGAGGTTTATTCAATGAGTTTTAACATCAATATTTTATTTCATGTCATTCAAACTTCAGTTTTTCATTATGTACAAAATTTACTTTAACTTTGAATAAATTTCTTTTTATTTACTCACATTTTCATTTTAGGCATTAACATTAATGCCTGGACATAATTTTCAGGATTTAAGAGTAATGCCTAACATTATTTAGGCAATAGACTTATTGCCTAGATGTTAGCTTATTGCCTAGGATTTAATCTTAACGCCTAATTTCACTTATTGCCGCTAACATATACACTGACACCAGATGCAACTTGGGGTTGGCAGTCAATGAAATATTTATAAATAAATACATTTAGCACTCTAGATCTAATATATCAGGTAAATATACATTTATTCAAGATAAATACATACTGTGACAGAATATGATATAAGTTTTTTCTTGTGAAAGAGGAAGAAGTTCTTACAAAAAGGTAATTAAGTTTAACAGTCATTGTCTTTTCAATTTAGGCACGAACAAAAAGAATAATTCCAGTTTACCAAAAAAAAAGTATTTTTTGTGCTTGTAACATGGTGGCTTTGTGTCGAGTCTGATTACTAAGAGCCCCGCTAGGGGGACAGCTTACTAAGCGATGAGTGATAGGGATGGCCCACCGGAAAAGGTCACTAATTTAGCTTCATGACATATGATAAGGGATGGAAATTAAGAAGTAATATATGGCAAAGTAACCGAAAAATAAATACTAGACAAATAGTGAAGATGACATTTTTTCACAGATGCAATAGAAAAATCTACTGTTATGTAGTAAATGCATCCGATATTTGTTAAATTAAGTTATCTGTCGATGAAATGACGTTGTAATGATAGCTATAGCTATATGAGTAAATTGTCTTTTTACCGATATTTTGAAAAAAAAATATATGATAGCACAAAGCCATGTAATTTTTTTTTCAAAATATCTGAAAAGGGTGTGGTACGTGAAGCCTCATCTACGTCCAACCACGAATTGATGTTGATATAACGTTAAAGTACCCAAATTGCTCCAAGAACAAATTTGCATCCATTTTGTATAAAAAGCGACGCATATCCTATAGGTTTTCTTAGAGACTAAACAAATTCGTAGTTTTATAACTTTATAGTTATGCATGTCTTTCATCACAACAAAACAATTTTAAAGATACATTAACATAATACATACATATAATATTATATATATACATGTATCAACAGATGAAGTATCAATTGACAAAGGTATTTACGGAAAAGTTGCATGCGACGTCTACATTAAGTCAACCTTTAAAGATAAGAACTATTAAAAGATGTCACAGACATAATACATAACATGCATGAAATTTTATCAAACTGTTATAATTACATTAGATGCATGTTTCAATATAATACGTTATTTTGATTGGCTAACAACAATCTCGCGTCATTCTGAAATTAACATTCATTTCAAAATGAATAGTAACATTCATGACGATACACGTTTCCGCAATATAGTGCGCAGTTAAATAAAAGAAAAACTTGATAGTAATCGTGTTTTCATTATCATAGCGAAAAAATGTAATTATAAGTATTGAAGGCTTCTTTTAGTAATTTCATAGGGTTGTAAAAGCGTTGACCGTACGCACATTTTAAGAATGAAGCGCTTCATACAAAATGTACTTCGGTCAACGTTCCCCCCCCCCCCCCCCCCCCAATGAATTTACAAAAAGAAGCATTCAATTCTTAAATAAAAGATGCGGAGAAAGAAATTGGTTATTCAAATTGAACAGATGTTTTTTTAAGCGTGGGTGCATTTAGCTATAGGTACTCCTCATTACAGAATCTTTGATCGTTCAGAGGTCGTCTCCAACCAATTTTTCTATGATCAGTATTGATTCGAAAGTAAAAATTTGGAACTATATAGTAAATAAAGATCGATCTACAGAAATAAATACAGAATAACAACTTTTGTCTGTTTCTTAAATGAATGAAGAAGAAAAACTGTCAAGAAAGGTGCAATTTGGGTATACTAACTTTGGTTGTTATTGAAATTGTTTTTTTTTAACACAAATCAGGCTGCGTATTTTCTTGTTTAAATTATTTCATGTTTGGGCCTTTTGTAGCATACTATACAGTATATAGGTTTTGTAGTTATTGAATGATAAAAAGTTTTATTTCTTATGCAGCTAACATCTTGCAATCTGATTGGTTAATTGTCCCCGGTGTAAATAGCACCCCATTCTTGTTCACCCTGGGATAAATAAATTTTGGCAAAGATTCTTAAGAATAAAACTTCGCCATAATAAAGAAAAAAAAATTAAATGTAAAAAAAAAATTAAAAAAATTAAAAATAGAAAAATAAATTTTTGAGGACAAACCATTTACAAAAAGATTTAAATAAATTTAACAAAAAAAATGTTTTCCAAAATTTAAAAAGAACAAAATATTTCTAAATTTCTAAAAAATAAAGAAAAAAAAGTATATGACAATGTGCAGCAACATCAACGTTGAAAAAATGTTACACTGAAATTTTAGTATTTTTTCAATTTTACATCCCGGTTTATAAATGAGTAAACTTTTAAGGAATTGTTTGTAAGAAATAAATTCGTTATCTTGACGTAATCAGGGATCTACGGAGTTTTACACCGGTATTGAAAATGCATACAATGCGCCTAAGGGTGAATGATTTTTCCACACCGGTTTAAAACTCTACACCCGTTATTAAACACTGGACACTTTTAATTTGCAAAACACTCATTTGCAAATCCGCCGCCGCCTCTCCTTAGAGCTACAGTGTCGTGTATATAACCAAAATGTGTGGAATTACATGGGATTCAATAAATTCATTGCTTTTCTGCTGTCATTATTATATATATTTTTTTATTTGATTTAGAAAAACATGGGATTTTCAATATCCCATGGGATAATGCAAATCCCATGGGATTGACCATTATCCCATGGGATTTTGGTTAAATTCCATAGGATTTTTTTGGGTCCCATGGGATAATTATAATTGTAGTCCCATGGAAATCCCATGGGACTATAATTATCCCATGGGATTTTTAATATCCCATGGGACAAAATAAAATCCAATTAATCCTATGGGATTCAAATTATAAATATACAGTAATGTGTATGTTACAATGAATTCTGTTTGGTAGTAAATTGTTTTAAGATGAATCTTTTTAGTTGAATATCTTTTTTTCCTTGTAAATGTTAATGCAATCATATTGTTCTATAATTGTTCAAAACTAAACTTTTAAACAACAAAGCAGATAATGTAAGTATCAATATATGTTTATTTATGAATTCTAGAATACTTTTTTGAAACACAATTTTTTCCCATTTGGAATCAATGAAAACTCTATTATTAGGCTTAACATACTAGTAGCTTTTTACATAAATCTAATTTTTTTTCAGGATATCCCTCCATCCAAAAAATTAATAGTTTCTTATCATCCAGCATTGTGTGATCTTAGTGTATAGTCCACTTTTTGGCCATTCAGCACAGAACATTGTCATTATTGTGGTTTTAATATCTTTAGATATTTAATAGAACTTCGATTCATTGACTGAGTGATGAAAATAATAACTGATCTGACATTTGTCTTTGAATTTATTCTGGTCTTGTTTCTGTGTTTTCTCCTTTTATTTTAAGTGATGAATTTTAATCCTTCTGAAAAAGAACCAATAAAATCCGAAGTTATGCATTATAAAAAATTGTTTGCATACATGTAGCAATAACATATGATTTTCAATAAAAATAGCTATGCGGTATGGATTTTACTGATTGTTGAAGGTTGTCCAGTGTCATCAGTTGCTAACCTCCTACATCCTTTGGTTTCTGATGGAGAGTTGTCAAATTAGCAATATACCACATCTTCCTATTCTAATATTATATAACAATCAATTTATGTATTCTTCTTTATAACATTTAGGTATTTTCCCCAGTTATATATATATATATATATATAGATCAATGTTAAAACTTTAGGCAATTACAATAACATTCCATTTTTCACAAGAATTTGCAATATATTATACAAAACGCCAACAATAGAAACAGCACTTCTTTAAGCTTCTGAAGTTCTGAAAGAGTTCCACTTGTGTTTTATTTCAATGAGAAAATACCTTGAACTCTTTTGACATGTTGGAAATTATAACATTGATACAAAAAATTATATTGTTTTTTTTTTGTTTTTTTTTGTGTTGTTCGGTTGCTGTCTCATTTTCATATATGGTTATACATATATACTAAATCTTCTTTTTGTTAACACTTAATTATTAATAGTTAAAAATGGGATATTTTTTATTTTGATAATCTCAAAACATTATTATTCTATCAAATAACTTATTTCCAAGTTCACAAAACACCAATATGTCAGATATTAATTTTAAGACGTGTATAAACATGATCAACAAGCAGTTGACAGGATGTCATGCAAAAATCTCACTAATATTAAACTTTCACAAAAACTCCATACTCAGCGAGTACTATTAAAGTTCTTAGTACAGGACAAATTCCTAGTACAGGACACCATGCCTGGCAAACACTAGCATGTGTCAATGTCTAGTCAATCATGTAATCAGGCTCAAAATCTTAGTTTGGCACTGAATTTGAAAGTTCACCACATAATGAACATGTGTATGAAATTCAACTTCATGGTAAGCTATGTACCTTAACCTAAAACTTTAACCTAAGAATGTACTATAATTTCACATTATGACATTTCTATGTTCAGTGATCCATAAAATCAGGGTAAAAACAGTAATTGTGGTGAATAATGTATAAACAAGAGTGCACACGCTGAAATGTTGCGCCTTCTTTACTAATCATTGATATCATGTTGATAGTCCTAAATATAAAGCTTTACTACAACTATCACATAAACTCAACATGATCCAAGAAAATGAATTCAAGGTCATATAAACCCGACAAGAAATACATGTACACCTTACAATCATTCAATATACTAAATACAGTTGACCTATTGCTTATAGTTTCTAAGAAGCAGATTTAATCAAGAAAACTAAACATTGACCAATGAACCATGGAAATGAGGTGAAAATCTGATGAACCATTCTAGGCAGACATGTACAGCTTACAATCCTTCCATACAACACATTTAGTTGACCTATTGCTTATAGATTAAGAAAAACAGACCAAAACACAAAACCTTAACACTGAGCAATGAACTGTGAAAATGTCAAATAAAACCTGCGAGACTGACATGTACATCATAAAATGTTTCCATACACCAAATATAGTTGACCTATTGCATTTAGTAATAGAAAAAAAGACCAAAACTCAAAAAATTAACTTTGACTACTGAACCATTAAAATGAGGTCAAGGTCAGATGACACCTGCCAGCTAGACATGTACACCTTACAATCATTCCATACACCAAATATAGTAGACCTATTGCATACAGTATAAGAAAAACAGACCAAAACACAAAAACTTAACTATAACCACTGAACCATGAAAATGAGGTCAAGGTCAGATGACACCTGCCAGGTGGTCATGTACATCTTACAGTCCTTCCATACACCGAATATACTAGACCTATTGCTTATAGTATCTGAGATATGGACTTGACCACCAAAACTTAACCTTTAAAAATATAAAAAAGAAGATGTGGTATGATTGCCAATGAGACAACTCTCCACAAGAGACCAAATGACACAGAAATTAACAACTATAGGTCACTGTACGGCCTTCAACAATGAGCAAAGCCCATACCGCACAGTCAGCTATAAAAGGCCCAGAAATGACAATGTAAAACAATTCAAACGAGAAAACTAACGGCCTAATTTATGTACAAAAAAAGAACCAAAAACAAATATGTAACACATAAACAAATGACAACCACTGAATTACAGGCTCCTGACTTGGGACAGGCACATACATACAGAATGTGGCGGGGTTAAACATGTTAGCGTGATCCCAACCCTCCTCCTAACCTGGGACAGTGGTGTAACAGTACAACATAAGAACGAACTATAATAAAATGCTTTGCTGAGCGCAGCCTGATACTACCGCAGAGGTCGATCCCTGAACAGTTGGGGCAATTTGGACACAATATTCAAGCTTGATACTGTCTGAATTTGGATTGTGATCAAATTTTTGACATAATATAGGTTTCTGACACAAAATAAATGTGGTCAAAGATCTTAAAAATCTATTGCGCAATACTTTCAATTGAAGATTTCTTATTGAAACTTTTCAAAAATATTGAAGAAAAAAAAATCCCCCCCCCTTTGGAGTAATTACCCCCAAACTCAATCCAAGCCTTTCCTTTGAGGTATGGAACCTTGTAGTACAATTTTAGAGAGATCCATACACTTAAACACAAGTTATTGTCTAGAAACTAGAAAAATGCTTGTTTTTGGCCCCTTTTTGCCCCTAATTCCTGCATGTTTGGGGCAATTAACCCCAAACTCAATCCCAGCCTTCCCTTTGTGATATGGAACCTTATGGTACAATTTCAGTGAGATCCATACACTTACACACAAGTTATTGTCCGGAAACTACAAAAATGCTTCTTTTTGGCCCCTAATTCCTAAACTGTTAATACCATAACCCCCAAAACTAATCACAACATTCCTTTTGTGGTATTGAATCTTCTTGTAAAATTTCATAGAGATCCATTCACTTAAACTAAAGTTATTGTCCGGAAACCAAATGTGTCTTCGGACGACGACAACGCAGACGACGACGACAACGCAGACGACGACGACAACATCATAGCATTATACGAACCCAAAAAAAAATTTTTGCAGTCGTATTAAAATCAGATGAAAGAGGCTTAACTCATCAGATAGATACAAATACTACAAATACAAGTGGACGTGGCCGGGTACTTGTACATCCAAACAACAAAAAGACACTAAGTACAGATCTGAGAGTACTCGCAGTTACTGACAGCTAGTTCAAAACCACTAACAACTAATAAAAAAAATCATGCATCTAAGACTGTTCTTGTTTACTGATCCATGAAATGAGGTCTAGGTCAAGTGAAAACTCTCTGACGAGCATGAGGACCTTGCAAGGTACGCACATACCAAATATAGTTATCCTATTACTCATAATAAGAGAGAAATTAACATTACAAAAAAACTGAACTTTTTTTCAAGTAGTCACTGAACCATGAAAATGAGTTCAAGGACAATAGACATGTGACAGACAGAATTCGTATCATGAGGCATCTATATACAAAGTATGAAGCATCCAGGTCTTCCACCTTCTAAAATATAAAGCTTTTAGGAAGTTAGCTTATGCCACCGCCGGATCACTATCCCTATGTCGAGCTTTCTGCGACAAAAGTCGCAGGCTCGACAAAAATACATGAACATTTTAAAGTACTAAATTTTGAGTATATACATGTAAAACCACAAGTTACTTACTGAAGTTCATGGTGAACTGTAACCAAAAACTTTAAGTGAATACAATTTAGAGAAAGACAGATGAATGCACAAACACTATCAAAACAGAGCATAAAACTTACCGAACAAGATGTTTTACATTTATTCTTCAGAAGCAGGAAAATTGAAGTGTTTCTTTTCTTTCTCTGCCCTCCATGATATAAACTTCAAATTCATTCATGCAAAATATGAAAATCTGCAAAAGTAGGACCTTGTATCTCAGCTTATCCACATTTTGACTTTTGAACTGCATTGTTCTTTTCATCTTGCTGGCAACCTAAACATAAAAAAAATAATAAACACATAATTCTGGATAAACTTCGTGTATTTATTTTTGTTGAATGGTACAAACAATTTTTTCCAACTTTAAACGAAAACATCATCATTAGAAAGGACGTCATACTAACCTCCGAAATATTCAAACAAACCAAAAGTAATACTTGATTAAGATCTTGTCATAAATGTATAGCATGGATACCTCTTATTTTTGAAGACCATATGTCTATTGCATACTTATATTCCTTTGTACAAGAGTATGCATATTAATATTAAAGATTGATTCTGAGGACTTTAAAATCAAAGACGTAGTGCCATTATCCCCTGAATTCATTACACTATACAATGCCATAAGGCTACTCCAAGTTGTATGCCAATCTTTAACATGTTTAATTAGCATGATTAATTTAAGTTTCATAACTCCATGTGTACACTTTGAGAATCTTACAATACTTTTTATTCTGATTTTCAGAACTTATTGTGAGGTTTTTATTAATGCGACTGACAGCTGTATTGCATTCTTATATCTAATACATATTTATGAGCTGAAGACTACCTCCGGGTGCGTGACTTTCTCGCCGCGTTGAAGACCCGTAAGTGGCCTTCCGCTGTTGTCTGCTCTTTGGTTGGGTTGTTGTCTCTTTGACATATTCCCTATTTCCATTTTCAATTTTATGTATGCAGATTTTTCTTAAATCACAATAATCAATCTCACATTTTTGTCCATTATTCAAAATTAGCAAAAATTAATGCACACAAAAATTAACATTGTTAAAGCTTTTTTTTTAAATTCAAAACAGTTGCCCAAAACCATTAAATTCCTTGTTTGATTTATTTTATATTATTCAAAGCCTTTTATAGCTAGCTAGATGGTATAGCTTTTGCTCATTGTTGCATTTATATTGTTACCTATACCTAACTTGTGCATCCTTTGGTCTCTGGTGGGGATAGGCCTACTGAAGAAGGTTCAACTTGGAATTTGCCGGATAATGAGTATTTATCCAAAAATGTAGAAGATATTCATAACCAAAACCAAAATTATGCTGAAATTAAAGATGTAAATTGTCTGTAACATGTTGTTTCATTTTTATTAGTGAGGTACTGGTGACCTGACGAAATTTATAAACATGAACTTTTGAACTATAGGAGTTACCCTACTGGAGTTTGGATCTAGGTCCATTCGCCCTGATTCACATTCAACCTTAATTACTTGTTAGTCTGAATAAGTTAATATCTGTTTGCCCTGGGTCCATCCGCCCTGATTTTAAATTTTATTTTGTTATCTTGATGTATAATGTTTATTTTTGAATAGAGTATGGTAAAGTTTGTAGAAATTTTGCTCAATATTTATATTGTATTGCTACTACCAGATAATTTACATTATTTTCCTTTGATTTGTACTATAGAATACAGGTATAACATTTTTAATATAATACAACTGAAGACGATTTTACAGTGGCGGATCCAGAAAATTTCATCAGTGATTGCCTAACAGGGGGCCGGCTCCTGTCATGCTTCAGTGATTCCCTATATAATCAACCAAATTTTTTCAAGAAAAGGGGGCCCCAAACTCCTGTCCCCCCCCCTGCCCACTAAATCCGCCTCTCCTTTAAAAAACAACTGAAACCATTATAAACTGCATGTATTTATCTTAATTGAAAACAATTTCTTGAGTTTCTCATTTAGTGGATCCAGAACTTTTCATAAGGGAGGGCCGGCTCCAGTCATGCTTTAGTGATTCCCTAAATAATCAACCAATTTTTTTCCAAAGAAAGGGGGGCCCGGGCCCCCAACCTCCCCCCTGGATCAGCCTATGATATATGTGTTTATATATCTCTCTGATATCCCATTTCAAATCAAATGTGTATTAATAAAACTTTACACTAGAAAAGTAAGGGAAAGTTACTCATTTGGGAAACTTTCAAATTCACAGCATGCCGGTGCCCGTGTTTTCATCACCCTCGTTGTATTGCGGAATAACGATTTAGGCAAATTGAGAAAAACATCATGTCTGTGGTTGATAGTAGTGTGTGTGCATTAATTTTCTATACCTTCTTATTTAATATTTTTCCAATTTTGAGTACTGACGGCAAGTGTTGTAACGTATAGTGTACCAATGTCTTGAGACCAATGTGTTATTTACAAGTGCGATCGAGGAATGCAGGTGAAGAAACTTATCAATTATGTTTATTCTTAAGACAAAAATGAGCCGCCGTAAAATGAACCGTGTCGAGGAGGTTACTGGCACGTAATAGGGCAGAGACATATATACACATATGTGTATATATGTCTCTGTAATAGGGTCATCTCTCGAGAACATTAACTAGTACATTGATAATTTACTATGCAGTCAGTATCCCGAAAAAAAAACGTATGGATGCAAAACGCTTCAGTAGTGGTTTCGGCTGACTACTAATACGTGCACTTTGTCTCAAAATATCCCGGCAGCGTTAAAGTTGAAGTCAGGATCTTGGGAGGGGGGGGGGGGGGTCTTCTTTTTCTGTGTTATTTTTTTTTTTTTAGCTATATTTCTACAAACTTACACTTTTTGATCATTACTCTCTTTCCTCATATTTTAGCATTTCATTATTCTTTAATCTTTATTGTTTGCCCGTTATTCTCTATTCTGTTAACCCCATCCATACCCTCTTATGTGGACTTAAGCTTTCGGTAGTTTATTTTATCCTATTTCTGTCTATGTGAATGTAAATACTTTATTTATCACAAAACAAAAACTTACTAAATATTTTTTTATGAAGTCCTCACCAGTTGCGGATCCAAAAAAATGTCATAAAGAGGCACTAACTGTCATGCATAAAGAGGGGGCCCGCTTCAGTGATTCTCTAAATAATCAACCAATTTTTTCCAAAAAAGGGACGGGCCCCTATGTCCTCACCTTAATCCACCTCTACCCCTTCCCACTTCGTATCATTGAATTCAGATTCAAGATCTCTCTGATTAAAGTAAGTAAGTAAGTCACATTTGCTTATATCAGGTTTTTGAATTGAACTGGCGGATAGTTGTTTCATTACCAATCATACCACATCTCCTTATTTTTTATATATACGAAAGCTTTATTCATATTTTTAGGTGTATTGATGAATGTGTAAAGATGCAGCAATTGTGTAGATACATTTTAACATACAGCACAAGAGATGCAGATTATATAAAACTTATAAGTCGAAGCCATACTGACAACGCCATGGCAAAAACTTAAAAACGACCAAATGACGCACAACAGTCTAAAAAACTTAACTATAGCATACAAAACGCAAACATTTAAAACACATAAGAAGCACCCAGACAGTCAAATAGAAATTTAAAGAATAAATAATTTGTAAAGATTTTCAACTAGGCCTACAGCTATATTTTCTTATCATCTAACAGTAAACATAGGTTCTGGTACTATGTGATAAGTCATTTTTTCATGCAGACCCAGTTTCATTGATACCTTGAACTTAGTGGTTTTATGCATATCAGCCCAGATTGTGTGTGTAATTTTATTAAACAATTCAACAATACACGTTCTAAACAGGTTAAATTCAATTTACAAATTTACAAATTCAGATCTACTGGCATTCAACATCCAATTACTTACTTGCTGTATATTGTCAATCCCGCAACATCGTGAATACGCCATGCGAGGTGTTGGCTATGTTTGATACAGGGTGGCGGCTTCGAAGCGTAGAAAAAAATCCAGGTAAATGAAAGTGTAAAATTTTGTTGTTGAAAATTTTAAGTACTAAATTCCTAAATTTGTACTTAACTCCGTTCTACGGGTAACATGGTTGTTTGATATGAAAATAGGATAAAAAGCATCCGGAAAAATTATCACATTATAAGTATTCGTAAATGGATATGAAAAAACTTAACAAGGAATAAGTATCGGTAAACGGACAGAAAGTCGCAGTACAAAAGTTTAAATTAATTATTTTACAATTGTTTAAATATATAAGAGAATGTTCTTGACGAATTGACTTTATTTATAGATGGTATTTAGTTGAGGAAATGATTAATTCGCTTTCAAATATTTTTTTTTATCATTAACTTATAAAAAGGAGACATGTTTGACAGCATGAAGCCAGTTAATTACCAAACCACTTTGGCAGATTGTTTTCTTAACAATCATTGTTCAATATTAATATTCAAAAATAAATTTTGTTTACAAGTCCGTTTCCTTTTAAAAATGCTTCAGAAAAATACTGAAACGTTTTTAAAATTAAGTTTATTCAAAGAAAAAAATATCCCAAAACTAAATCGTGACTCAAAATTTCCTAATGAAATTGTTAGATTCCAAATATTTAGGAGAAGATTGTATTTGTACTTTATGTAATGGTGGTGATATTGGAGACGCGATTCATTATATTATAGCAAGTTTTTGTACAAATCCTTGATTATAGAATGTTCGGCAATAGACGAAAGTAGACTAACCCTATTTAAACGGGGTTTTGATCTCCAAGGACCCCACATTTTACATCGAATAAGATCTATATTTTTTAACGTTTTCAAATGAAATAACTTGAATTAAAAATTCCCGACTATGTGAAGATTTCTTATATTTCTAAATGGCTTCAATTATTACATACAAAACGAAAAAAAAAACTTTTTTTTGTAAAAACAATATTCATGTATTATTATAATTTTTCCAAGGAAACGCTTTCTTTTCTTTTTTTTTGCAAAGTTTACTTGTATGTGTTTATAACCATCACCAATCAGTCCTAATTATTAAAGATCAAACGACCTAATCAAAATGATGATTGGTATTGAATATGATCATCGGTTATGCATGACGTATCCCAAATAACTTCTTTAATGTTAGTTTGATTTTATCAAAACCAAAATTATAAGATCAATAAACAGCATGCGCCATGAGCGCATGATACGCCCGTCGTCTTGTGTGTGAATTTTTATGCAATAAGCATAAATAGTTTCTGACATACGGCGTGACATGCGAAAACCCCCTTTTTTTTTTTACAAAAAACTCAATATCTCTAAAATAAAACAACGCTCACTAAAACCAGAAGTCCATTACTAGATGTAAAACATATATACATGTCCTGAGTGACTTTTTATGTCCTGTCTGCACTCAGGAGATCCTGAGCGGGTTTCAGACGTACCGTTAATTTATAGGCATATATTTGAAGCTGTTCTTAATTATGTACATTATCTATAGGTATACATGTATCAGACAAAAAACTTTCCAAAGAACTTAGTTCTAGTTATCTTAGGTCCTAGTCACAGGCACTTTTCTCAGAAAAAAAATTTCCTATATACTTCTGAGACAAGTGCCTGTGGTCCTAGTGTGAAATAAATCCACTGGGAATTGGCCTTTTTAAACACAACTATATACACGTTTTCTCAAGGGTTTGTACATGTAAAGTGAAATTATGTTTACTAAATGCGTAGTTACATAAGTTTATTTGCTTTTTTTTTCTTCTTTATCTTATATAAATGATTTTTTTTTTTGAATTTTAACATTTTTTTCTACGAAAAATTTGTAGTGTTGCAATAGGGAATGGACACAGATACTTAACTACATTTAACGAAAGAAATTTTGTGTAATGTCATCAATCTGTATTACACATAGACAGGATGTTCTCTAGATAACTATGGTATTTCTAATACGTTATACACACCCCAGGGTACACGCACTGTCGTAATGGAAAATTACTGCATGCTTTAATTACCTGTAATCAGCCATGTAACAAATCAGTTGACTGACCATGTCATTACAGTTTAAAAAGTTTTTCCTCAGATCAAAACGGAATACTCATTTAAACTTTAAAATTTAAAACTTTAAAAGTATACTTTGACATAATTATGAAGTAAAAGAATTTAACAATTGACTAATCGGATTTTTCCAAAGATTAAGATACAATTATATTTATTATTCTGGGACTGACAGATATATCACATGCACTTGTCTCAGAATTTTATTTCCTATATACCTTTTATTAAAGTATATAGGATTTTTTTTCTGAGACAAGTGCCTGTGAGACATATACATGCATAAGTCCCAGACATATATAATTGTAAATCAAAATGATTTACCTAATTACTGGGAAATAATATAATGTTTCAGTTATGTTGATGTCACAAATACACATGAATTATTTGATGATGCATGCTGGAATTTCTTATCTAAATGCATGACGGTGACCACAGACATATATATATATATATATATATATATATATATATATATATAAACGCCTAAAAAGTGTACACAACAACACCAATAACAAAAAAAGGAACTATAAATGTAATTATTTATAAATATTTCGGATAACAGATATCCTTCATCAGTAAATATGATTGTGATGTTGAATGAATCATTTATCAGTCTACTTAGATTAAACTATACAAATCTTGAAATTTATACAATAAAAATGTCAAACCGAACATCAGGTAAGACGCTTGCACAATTCTAAATATGTGTTAAACACGACATAGGTTATATGACTAATTACAACAGAGAGTTCAAATATATGCTTTAAATAAAAATAATAATGTGCGATATGAACTAGCACAATTCTAAAGCTTTAACGGTGACGACAGTTATGATGTTACAAGAACGATTGCGTCAATAAGAATTCCAAATAAACAGCACTGAACGATCTAAATTTGTAAATATTTCAAATTTGACAACGGTAGAGTAGTTGCAACAGAGTCTGTGTATTTAAACATCGCAAACAAACGGCCGTTAAAATATAATAATAAATTTTGACTAAGGTTAACTAGTTGAACGTGGCTTGGTACTTTTACATCCCTCAAAAAATTAAGCAATTTAAATTGTATATTCAACAGATTTATTTTAGAGATGAGTAAGGTAAAGAAATAGAAACAGAGACTGTAATAAAAAATAATACAACCCAAATGTGAAGCACTGCATGGAGTCGAACTACATCTTTTCATTTATCCCATTTGGTGCCAAAGTTGTTAATTTTCTTATCCAAAATCTTTCCCGAGTGAGTCTATCCTCCCTAGACCAAGCAGAGTTGTGGTCAATGATTGTAATGGTCAGTCGATTGAGATCTGCCTTAGTGTGGCCAGGGGATCTCAAATGTCGACTGAGAGGGAGGTCTGGCTTGCATTGGTAGTCGCTACGATGACCGTTCATTCGTTTGTGAAACGGCTGTTCT